GGTGTAAGAATATCCACTACCCCTTATTATCCCGTGGGTGTCGCATCAGCATCTTCCTGATAACAGCAAATTAAAAATAAAATGCTGTTGTTGCCAAGCGTGGCAACTATGCCAAATATACCCATACAACAGTGAACTTTCTATATTACTAGGCTGTATTCTGTCCACACCAACGTTAATGGACGGCGGTGGTCTCTTATCATCAGTGGAGCCGCAAATTAGGAAAAACTAAAAAATCTTTTTTATGCTACATTTTCAATGGAGTTAACAGTTCAGCTAATGTAAAGTAACTACTGTGCCTTACAAACAATTTCAGAAAAAAAACTGTTTAAGTTCCGTTTTAAACGGTGCAGAGAGGCTATTACATGTGGCAATGCATCTTATGACGCAATGCAATTTTTAACCGACCTCAAAAAGGAGGAAGTACTCAATTCGTCTGTATGTTTTTTTAAGTGTTACCTCATAACTTTTTCTAGGTAAACCGATTTTGATAATTCTGAATCATGTGGTCCCATATAAAGATCAATGTCTGACTAATAGTTTTTGAGTTATTCTTAATAATTTATATTGAAGTCGGTTGTACAATTTTTTTTATTTTAATACTTGTGTTTTGTGAGAAATTCTCGCTTTATAATGCTTTATTTTAACACCGTTATAAAATAACCGCTGAAGAAACTCCGTAGGTTTCCCCTTTTTCATTATTCTAAACCTTTACGAAGCTAAAGGCATAATTAAAGTTACAGCCTATATGCGTCCCACTTCTGCGTAATGCTGAGCAATGAGGGCTAATAATCTTACGCTCACCAGATGTCGCTAGTTGAGACTAAGGTGAACTTATTTATATACACAAAACAATGCCTCAGAGCTTTATTCTTTAATGTTTTACACATTCCATAACTTTATAAATTTTTCAACTTTTAGAAATATCCGTAGTTTGACTTATTCATATACAATCTAATTAATATAAAGTATAACTAATATTTCAGAAGAAAACATTAATCGCTACACTTTTCTAACAAATTAAATTCTCCCGCTATTAAATCTGTCAAAATTTTCACATTCCAAACTGACGCCGCCCTGGTGGTAGAAAAGGTCGTGGAACATTAGTCCACAGTACCAGTGCGCGTTTGCGTACTTCATATTCTAAAAATTACTAGATATAAAAACATGATATGTTCTGTGATAAAAATTGGGCATAATTTGAAACTTATTAGTGTATATATCAATCGCAAGTAGTCCATACTATACACGCAGCACCTGTTCAATCAGACCTGACAATCTAGTTTCTAGTTTACTGACTACAAATGCCACTACAGGGTTATTTTTCAAAGAGTATCAAAATTTTTATATTTAAGTTCAAATATATAAATAATGATACTTACTGTTATTTCAGTTTTTTTGTTTTTAAAAGGAGTAAATGAGACTTTTACTGTTTTATGCGTTTGATTTTTGGGGCAGTACGTGCGCTCCTCTGTATGCGATTCAATTCACAACGTTTTTGCCGACCGAATGTATGCGTGCGTAGTAAAATAGTAGGCGTTAGATATTTATGAATAACAATCAATTAAAATAATGCATTACCAATAACAATTTAAAAATCAATTACCAATAACAATAACAATTTAATAATCAATTTAACGAATACAAATATAATGCACTTTGGACAAAGATCACAAAACCCATTAAATGTAAATTTGGCTTATGATAATTACACTATAAATGAAGTTACTACTGTTCGGATTTCTTGGCTTAATTATAGACAGTAAAATAAATTGGAAAGAACACATTAACGTATTATGTAAAAAAAACAGCAATCTTTCATACGCCCTCAATAAACTTGCTCCAACTATCAACACTGATGCGCTTTTCTCGGCATACTATGGTCTTGTTGAATCTGTTCTCAAATATGGCATCATTTTTTGGGTAAACTCAACTAAGACAGATATAACCCACACTTGTTTCTTCGCCTATCAGACAATGTAAGACTTAATCGCCGAGATAACAATAGACTATGTGCTCACCCTGCTAAAAAAAGCGCTAATGCGTAAAAGTGTAGTATGCAAAGATCCGTTAATATATAACAAAATTCCAAATGACATTAAACAATTGAATACAGGCCTATTTAAGAAAACATTTCAAAAAAATATTGACTGCAAAATGCTATTATAATGTTAATGACTTCCTTAATGACACATCTTTATGAATGTAATAAACCTATTTAATTACGCTGCATACGAGTACATTGTTAATATAATTGTATTGATAATGCAATTGTATAATTATTTTTTGATAGGAAATATAATTGACATTTATTACATTAAATTATTGCATGTTGTGATACATTAATTAGTAAATTAGGTATCTTTTGTAATAACTTATTGATTATCTGTTATAGTTATTCTTCTTTTTATTTTTTTACATTTGTACACCAACTATGGTCAAACATGTTGATCCAAAATTACAATTTTCAGACCAATAATAAACATCAAACGTATTATTATCTACACATGTTTATGCAAATAAATATACCTTTATCTTTACCATATTCTGAATTTAAAAGATAAAAAGGACGAAATGTTTGAAATTTTTTTAATAAATCTTCACCCTTCGACTATATTACTTATCCTGAACTTTCTCTGCAAATTTGGGCGCATATTGCAAAATAACCTTGTATAACCTGGTGATAGAACTGCAAAATTGTTTGCAGTTCTATCACCAAATGCTTAAAGAAATCATCCAATGCTTAAAGAAACAAATACAAGTATTTCAAACACTTCAAGATGTATCGCACAAAAAGCAAACTAAAGAATCAATTTGTGTCACTTACGACTGAGCAATTATAATAGAGAAATGTGACTTCGCAACCGTACGTTCAGAACCGGTCGTCCAACCAACGACCCGCCTACGGGCATGCACTTTCACTGTCGACCGAGATCTGAACTTCAAACAGATGCTCATAATTATGCCCATCACAAGTCCACTGCTAAACAATAGAGGGGTCATATGCCATAGTTGTCATGTCTAACAAGTGGGTCCATAATTATAATGAAACAATAACTCATTGGTAGGGTTTCAAGGGTAATATTAATATATAGGATGTAAGAGATACATGAACGAAAGAAGGGACAAAAACATTCAAGTGGCTCAATGGGCGGTCTCGTCGCTTAAAAATCGATCTCGATCGAATCAAAGCGATCTCTTCCAGACAACCCTTTAACCTTTGAGTTCGTGCCAATTATAAAAATACAGATGCGATGTTACCCCTGAGGACTGAGATGGAATGCCTCGTTACCAGTAAGAAGGGCCACCGGTCGTCGGTAGCATAGTCACATAGCAGAGTGACATAGTCCTCCAAACCGAATTTGGAATTCCGAAATTCAAATTCCAATAGTGCCCGAATGTATGCGCGAGCACAGGTGCACTCTCTATTCCCTCACTCACAGAGTCCGATGGGACAGCAATCCGACACGAGTGGTGAGGAGAGTGATCAGGCACAGAACCAACAGCTTTACTTTCTGCTACTGAGAATTTCTTGTCCAAAAAATTGAATGGCTGATTTTGCCCCAAACAGGGATTCGAACCCAGGACCTCTTGTTCAGCAGTCGCGTTTACGTCCTCTGAGTCAACGACCAGTCACTACAACATACTATATTACTTTCTCAAGTGTAAATATCACTTTTAACACATTTCAAAACTAACACTTGTCATTTCAAATCTTTCTAGAGTTTGAACGCAAGTAAACCATGTTATAATCGACGCCCATGTTTGTCTTTCTTTCTTCGCTTCCTTCTTATAGAATAAATTTGACAATAATTCTAATTAAAAATTTTGTACAACCGACTTCAATATGAATTATTAAGAATAACTCAAAAACTATTGGTCAGACCATAACAAATTGTGTCGAATTGAGTACTGCCTCTTTTTTGAAGTCGGTAGAAAAAGCACACGGTCCACCTGATATTAGGTGAATGCTGTGGTTGTGGATATTCACATATTTTCTCGATTAAGAATCAAAATGCAATGCGTTGTCCCTGTGCACTAAGATGAAATGCCTCCTTTCCATTAAAAAGTTTTCGGTTCTCTACACTCACCATAAGAAATACAGCATTAAACTGCAATTTTACTTTGGTGTTCTGTAAGAGCGTGGTTCTTTCCCGGTCGACTCGACCTATTCATACTACAAACATAATTTAGCTGCACCATGGTTTTATCGTGTAAAAGGTATTGTAGTGTAAAATTTAAAAAGCTACTGATATTACAATATATTTTAATTAATGTGTAATAAATAGTATTTGCTTGCAGTATAGTGCAAGCTACAGTAGATTAATGGTTTAGGGAACTGACAGGAAAATCGAAGACTTAAATATTCTAAAACATATGGAATTCGCCAACTCGCCGAAACTGTATAAAGATAAAAAAAGAAAAATAATAATAAAGTCCTCCGTGTCCCAACATCCCCGCAGTGATCAGAGGAGTCAAAAATTAATTAAAGACCTTGTAATTAACAAGCTAATGGGTATTTTATAATGAGGCTGACCTAATCGACCCATTTTTTAAATTTATGGTTCTTTAAAATCTGTCCTGGCTTCGTCTAGGTGGGATCTATTCGTGTTGCGTAATCAATTTTACGTTTATATTCAAAAAATCTTCAAGGTTTTGGGATAAAATATAGCCTAGATTCCTCCTAACATAGAACTTTATATGTTCGTAAAGTTTCTTCACAATCGGTTCAGATACTACGAAGAACAATGAAGACAGATATTACGAAGATTAGCCAGGATAGACAGACAGACCGAAAGACCGATAGACCGTAGAGCCAGACAAAAATTTAAAAAAATGTTTATTTATGTCTTAATACATAAACAACTCCCTGAACTTTGAGTATAGAAAAAATCTTCACTATGTATTATATAACAATAATTAACAACGAATCAGAATGAATTCATTCAATTTATTTGCATATAAATTCTTTATTTATTATATTCTATTTTTTCCAACAGGGCATTGGAAAGAAATCACCACGAGAGCAAGGTAGGGATAGACATGAAAACATTCTCTGTATCGAGCAACGATAAGAAAAGATTGAAAAAGAAGAAACAAGGAACACATGAAATTCACCTTCATCATCCAATTATGATGCCGGTTCATAAACAAGAAGAGGAAGGACGAGGATTTCCAGGGAAAGTTCAATCATGGATTATAGGAGCAAGAGATTTAGCTGATGACAATGCATCTCTAAACACAGCTTCCTCAGACCCAGTTGACTCCACAAGTGCTGTGTATGGTCCTAAATTTGAAATGGAAGATACTGGTTCAGAAGATTTCGAAAATAATACAGAGGACACTGAAACAGATAATGATGCTAAAAACGAATTAAGTGATTCGAATACTGACGTATATAATTTTAGGAAGAGTAGAGGTCTGATTTCTGATATGTGGGGGATTGGAGCGAAAGCACTGGATGCACTCGCCGAGCATGTAATCGAGAATGAAAACGCTGACAATGGAATCCAAGACAAAAGTTCATTAGAAGGTTAGTACTGTAGTTTATTTATAATAGTTTCACTTAATTTTTGACGTAAAGAAATTAACTTTTATTATTATAGTATACGAAAAGCACAGATTTAATTCCCGATTAGGTTTTTTTTTCGAAAGTGTAAGAATGACAAACGAGCACACAGTCCACCTGTTGGTAAGACCTCCCCCATCCTCATCCTCCATCTTCGATTAAAAATTAAAATGCAGATGCGTTGTCACCTGAAGAACAAGATGGAATACCTTGTTTCCAGTAAAAAGGTTCTATGGTTCTCTACACTCACTATACAGCTGCATAAAGCTGCTATTCTGTGAGAGTGTGTCCTTCCCCGGTCGAGCCAACACATGTGTGCTACAACAATATAGCTGCATACAACAATATAGATCTTCCGTGTATAAATATTTTATTAATGCTACTACTTGGCTTTCAAACATACATACATATAGTCACGTCTCTTTACCGTAGGGGTAGGCAGAGACCACTTCTTTCCACTTGCTACGATCCTTACATACTTGTTTCGCTTCGTCCACTTTCATTATTCCCTTCATACATGCTCTACGGTTTAGGGTACTCTTGACCTGGCCTTTTTTCAAGACTTCCCTGACTTGGTCTAGTCCACCTAGGTCTACCCCTTCCAACACTTTCATTCACACTCGCCGTACACTTTTTTCGTCAATCGTTTTTCATTCATTCTCTAAACATGGCCAAACCATCTCAGCATACCTTTCTCAATTTTTGTCATTTTGTTTAATTGTTCAGACTACTTAATAATCAAGAGTTTAACAACCAGTAGGCACCAAGTAGACAGACGTACACAAATATTATTGTATTATTATAAAATTGCTTTTCGCGTATTTTAACTGCCCTAGAAAAGGAGGAGGTACTCAATTCGACTATTATTTTTATGTATGTTACCTCAGAATTTTTTTCTAGGTGAACCGATTTTGATGTTTTTGATTTCATTTCATAGCTGGTGCTTCTCATGTGGTGCCATATAAATATGATTAAGCTATAACCAGTAGTTTTTGAGTTATCTTAAATAATTCGTATTTACTAATTGCTTTAGACTACATTGATGATGTTCTCATTTTATTTATATTTAAGTTACTTGCACAAAATCTTTAAAATTTCGCACTTTTTAAAACAAAATACCATTTCAATTATTTAAGAATTTTTCTAGTATATACCACTTTTTATATGAAAGATATAAGTTTCTTTAAACGTTGAATGAGACTCGATTATAAATCTCATTTTTTTCATTGCGATGCTTTTATGTATCATTGACATAAACACGCAATCTCTGCCGTGATACATTATTGATCTCAATACATCCGAATACACAATACATCCATTAATGGTGCTGTATTAAACAGTGCATTTAATGAAAAGTAGATCAATACACTACAGCGGAATCCTAGAAAGTGTAACGCGGAACTGAGATCACGTTTTAGTTATACTAGCTAAGATAAACAAACACATGAAATATAATTAGATTTAAAAAAGACATACATAGCTGGGAACAAACTACTATATAACAGTACATGTTATTACTGATGAATTGCCACTATTTAATCTGAGTAATAAAAAAAAACACAATCGCAAAAAAATGTACATAATGTAATTAATATATATATAGTTGGGAATACATACGGTGGTTTGGGAAGTTCAGGAAGTCAAACACCTGAGCCCCCCCCCCCCCGTGAAATGTAGGGAATTTAGTTAGTTTTATTTCATAGATGCGCACGTTTGCCACCCATATTTTTATGAAAACATTGTTTTATATATATAGTACATGATGTTGCTTTTTTATTCTTTAATAATAATAATAATAAATCATTTATTTGCAAGAAATATGGTTGTTACACAAGATGTTAAATTAATTATAGCACAGGACATATTTCACCCTCATTACGGGCATGCAAAATCATAGTAAATTTACAACAATTATTTGAATACAATTACAATTATTAGAACTATTTGAATAACAATTTATAAGAACTATTTGAATTACAATTATTACAATCTTTTAAATTTCAATTATTTGAATTACATGATTACAATTACATAAATTATTGAATTATTATAATAGACTAAGTTACAGGAAATAAAAAGAAAGATCTGATATCTTAGTGGGCACCAAAACGGCAAGTACTTTTATTCAAAAAATCTTTAATAGTATAGAAACTCTCCTGGATCAACCACTTTCGCAAGGCACAACAGAACCCTTTATATGGCAGGTCAATCATTCCTTTGGGCAAAGAGTTATATATTAGAGGTGCCATATAAGCACAGTTTTTTTTAAACAGTTCTAGCTTAGGCACAGGCATTTTTAAGGGCACGTGGTTAATTTTTCGTTTAAATGTATTGTCGTTAGCGGTGAAGAGATGACTGTTGTATTTAACAAATTTAGCTGTTTCGTAGATGTATATGCAGGGAACAGTTAGTAGATTATTTGATTTAAAGGTCGGTTTACACGATTCCGACCAATCCATGCCGTACAGAGTCCGAATGCATTTTTTCTGTGCTATAAACACCCTCGTGATGTCACAGGAATTTCCCCAGACAACTATGCCATATCGTATAATGGAGCAAATGTAAGCGTGATATACCATAATAGAGGTATGTCTGCTTGTCACGTCTTTTACCTTTCGAAGTGCAAAAACAAACTTATTTATTTTTATGCATAATTTATTAATATGTTCTTTCCATGAGAGATGTGTATCGAGAATAATGCCTAAGAATTTAGCGGTGTTTATCTGTTGTATAACTGAATTGTTGTAACTAATATTTAATTCCATGTTTTTACTCTTATAAGTTTTGAAGTTAATTAGTTTCGTTTTATCAATGTTTATTTTCAATTTGTTTATGTTTAACCATTGGATAACATCTTCTAACGTTTTATATATTTCCGTCTCATAGGTATCTATATTTTTACAGCCCATAATGATAGTCGTGTCGTCTGCAAATAAGACACAATCATGTGTGAGTGCACGTGGAAGGTCATTGACGTAAATAAGAAATAAAAGGGGCCCTAAGATGCTACCTTGTGGCACCCCGGTACAATTAATCCTTTGTTTCGAGTCAAACTTAACTACATTATTTGTTTCAGTATCAAATTTTGTAATCCTAGCGAATTGTTTCCTATTTTTTAAATATGACTGAAACCATAACAATGAAGATCCCCTTATTCCACATTTCTCAAGTTTCGAGATGAGTATTGAATGATCAACAAAATCGAATGCTTTGCTGAGGTCTAATAGTAGAGCTAGTGTTGGGATTTTATGGTTGATATTATTAACGATGCTGTTTATTAGGGTGAAGGTAGCTAATTGCGTTGACCGATATTTCCTGAAACCAAATTGTTCCGGTGCCAAAATGTCATATTTATCTAGGAAGCTTATTATTCTTTTGAGCATAACTTTTTCAAAGATTTTAGATAGGACCGGAGTTAAAGCAATAGGCCTATAATTGTTTTTGTCAGATTTTGACCCTTTCTTATGTAGTGGCTTTATTATTGACAATTTAAGTTTGTCTGGAAAGCATCCTTGCTCGAAAGATAGATTTATAATGTGAGCCAAAGGTTCCGATATAAATAGAGCAATATGTTTCAATAAGTCGGAATTAATTTCGTCATACCCCGCCGACTTTGAATTTTTCAATGAAATTATTGTGTAAAAAACTTCATTTGGATCCGTGGGTTTTATAAAAATACTGAAGTCGTTACTTTTAAAATTTGACGTGGGATACTTATCTTCATTATTGGCAGATGTAGAACTTGTAGAGTTTTGAACTACATCAATAAAAAAATTATTAAATATGTTTGCTATGTCAGATCCAGATGTAACTGTACTTCCATTGTCGACAATATTATCAACGAATGGACCAGTCCTAGGTACAGTACCGTCAACACATCGTTTCACTACGTCCCAAGTTGCTTTACCTTTATTGCGAGAATTGGTTATGTACCTTTGGTTACAAAGCGATTGAGTGCCTTTTATACATTTCCTTAACAATTTGGAATATTTTATATACGCAAATTTATTATTATTGCTTCTATTTAAGTAGTAGTTGTATCTTAGTGTTCTTTTGGTTCTGCAACTAATTTTAAGACCTTTTGTTATCCAAGATATTCCGCCGGCTCTAAAACTATTTTTCCGTCTTATTATGGGAAAGCAAAGTTTAAAGAATAATGTTAATTCTTCGTGAAATTCATTAAAAGCCTCATTTGTATTTAATCTATTGAATATTTCAGAAAAAGTTATACAGCTAATGCACTCGACAAATTTACTTAGGTTATTTTTGCTGTAGTCACGTGTAGTTGTGAAGTAATGTTTAGATATTTTTTCTAATTGTTTGGTTTCAAATTCAATTGTTTGAGCTGTGTCGTGATCCGAGAGACAGAAGTTGTGCGTTCTACCTATCGCAGTTGAAATATTACTAAGGATGTTGTCGATACATTTATCAATTCGTGTTGGTTCCTGAATATGACACTGGAGTCCGAAATTGTATATAAGTTCTAGGAACTGAGTACTTGCGCTATTGTGAGCCAGTATATCAATATTAAAATCGCCGCAAATAATTAATTTACGTTGTTTGTGTTTGTGGCGTAGTTTAGATAGCGCTTCATTGATTTTGTGAAAAAATATATTTATATTGGAATTAGGAGTTCTATAAATACATATAATAATTAGTTTTATTTGAGGAATTTCTAGGGCACAAATTTCAAAATGTTTTTCAATACATAGTTCATTGATCTCATGCAATTCCACGCCTTTGAAGTCATTTCGTAATAAAATACAAGAACCCCCTCTCCGTTGCAATTGCCTAGAAAAAATGGTTGACACATGAAAATTACTTAGTGCTAAAAATTGCTCCTCACCTTTAATTATAAAATGTTCAGTGAGACATACGGCGATAACACGTTTATTTGATTCATGTAGTTCATTGAGGGCTAATTCTAGATCATCCATTTTACTTAGTGCGCCTGCGATATTTTGGTGCATAATACTGCACAATGAGCTATTAATGCGCTTACTTACGAAAAAGCTGCTCTTTGTCCTTATTAGTTAATACCGAAGAAATATTTACAGAATGATTATTATTTGTGACTGCTGCGAAATAAAAGGGTATTGTGCCTTTACGAGGTTTAAGTTTAGATGGCAGGATCGTAGCGGAAAGACTTTTGGCGTCTTGGAAAATATAGTGCTTTAAAGTATTAAAGATGTTTTTCATGCCATGTCTATTTAGTACTCCACTTTGCTTATAAAACATTGTGTTGTCGTATTTTAGATTTAAATTGGAATCAAATAATATTGCATAATTATATTTACATATATCTTGGTATAATAAGGTATTAAAAGTCTCAACTCTTGAGTTAAAAATGTTGTTGTAACCATTGAATTTATAGGTAGGCAAACACAGTACTAGGTTAGTGTAGCTAATTGACATTAATGTTTCGCGTATACTTATAACTAGATCATAATAATTTGCAGTTGTCTCAAAGTCATGTTCTCCTATAAAAATCAAACAGTAGTCCTGTTTATTGAAGTTGACAAGCTTGTTGTTAATATTATTGAGTAGCTGTTTAATTCCACAGTTTGTCGAAATATAATGGCATATATCATAATTAGGAAACGTATTTAGCGCCAAGGTGAGAATATTATTTACTTTGTTACTACTAATAATACAAAGTTTTTGACTTGGACGATTAACTGCTATCTGACCGGGATTAAATGGGGAGTGCGTGGGTACCTCTGGTTGTAGAATGTTGTTTACCACTTTGGGCTTTATATATGAAGATGTGCCACAATTTTCATTCTCCCGTAAAGTATCGTTTAATGGACTGGCGGCGCCATCTATTGGCGGGTCGCTGGTTAATGAATTCTGCCCAAGATCAATCAAACTCGTGTTGTCTTCGTCATCTAATGTCAGCCTCAAGTTTCTTGACATCCTCTTCCTTGGCGTTATCGCTCTCGTCCTGGGTTCTGAACAAAGTTCTTTAGTACGTTTCACCAATTAATTCCCCGAGCTATATTTTAATTATTTTATCTGAGGGTCGGGACTTAAACATTTTTGACAGAGACGATGATAAATGAAGAAATATTTTCCTCAAATTATTCTAGAACAAAGGGGTAAGAAAAAGAAGAAAAAGAAGGCCATCCTGAAGCTGCTGATCTTGGGTGCGGTGCTCAAGGCTAAGATTGGAACGTTACTGCAAATCCTGTCATTTAAATTGCAGGTAAGTTTCGAATTATATCTTTATATATATACTAGCTCTGCCCCGCGGTTTCACCCGCGTCATCACATGTCCGAGGTGCGCGACATGACCTAGTTCAAGCATTTTATAACGGCTAGGGTTTAAGCATCGTTGGCGCGCCTAGCCAAGTATTGAATTATTTTAATTTTACATTCTCTTAAACTATGCGTCCAAATAACATGGTATAAGGAACAAAGTTTATCTTCATAAAATTGTCTTGTTGATGAAGTAACTTTCGTTCGTAAGGATAAATAGGCCATGCCTAATAATAATGCTCATAAATCACTTTTAAATTTTCAATATTTTTTTGTCACAAAATACCGTATAAGAAATGGACATATGGTATCGCGGACTTTTTTTTTAGACGGAGTAAAGATCTATATTTTTCTAGAACATTGTATTTACGTATCCCTAACGATAACACCAGCGTACGCGGATAAATCATTTCGGGACTGCTTTTTCTTCTGTCCTGCTTAACAAATATCCATATTTAAGGCTAGCTGAGTGATATAGCTTAATGCTAGATAGCCTATACTATTCCACATGAATCTAGCTATAATATACAAAAATAATTTTTCAAATCGGACTTGTAGTTCCAGAGATTAGCGCGTTTAAACAAACAAAAAAACTCTTCCGCTTTATTATATTAATATAGTAAGTAAAGTATAGATAATATATAAATTACGTGACACATTGTTTGTCCGCGATGAACTCTTAAACTACTGAACTGATTTCAATGAAATGTTTCACAATGTGTGAAGTTTGATCCAACTTGAGAGTTTTTTATCCCGATAAGTGACCCCCAATTTTTTATTGCTAATTTCAGGAGGTTTTTTTTTTTGCGAAAGCCTATTCAGAAAGGGCAGAACAACGTCTGCCTGGTCAGCTACTATATATATATAATCCTGCTGTCCCTGTGTATGTGACTGAACTCCTTCTAAAATGCTGGTCCGATTTTCATGAAATTTTGTGTATGTGATTAAGTTCATTCGAGAATCGCTAGTAACAGATAAAACTAAAAATGGAGGTTTTGGTGAGAAATTGACCACCGACGGATTGCTGCTCCGATTATATTGTATAACTTAATAATGGTTTAAAGTAGATTTTGATACGTAAAAGTGGGGCCATTTTGTTTATCAAATGTCTGCGCATGTGAACTATTAGTGGAAACCATGAAACAAGTGCTCCGATAGTGATGCGAACTCAAGATAAAGAAGTGTTTGCTTAGGCACCTGATATCGTTATTACCTCTCTGCTGGCTCAAGCTGCCAAGTTAAGATCTTCCAGAATCTTTAATAAACTATGCAATGTGACGCATTAATATATTGTGAATAAGTTTTTAAACAAATAATTGCAAAGGTTAATTCAATACGAGTCCATTACAAAGAAAAAAAACTGAAAATAAAAATCGAGATGTTTGGTATCCATTACATAAACATATAAGAACATAGGCCTTCCTCATTGATTTAATAGTAGGCGGATTTTGCCATAGTTGCCAAGCTTGGCAGGCGGGTTATGTTTTTACCGCAGTTGTTTATTACTTTGAATTGTTGTCAGAAAGCTACTGCTGCGGATATTCTGTTTAAGTTTCCCTCTGTCACCTCTTACTACACTAACCGGACGATATGGGTAGTGGATATTTTTACACCGCCACTACACGGTTTAGTACTACAATCGCAAATTCTCCTGCCAAGCATATTGATTAAGGAAAATTCATACACAATTGTTTACATATTCTATTTTTTTTTTCTTTACGTAGTAGCGCTGCAACTATGTTATGGTTGTAGGATATATGGTTCGGTTCGACTGGGATAGGTCCATGCTCTCACAGAATACCAGCGTAAATAGCGGCTTAATGCTACTGTGTTTCGTATGGTGAGTGTAGAGAACTGGAAACACTTTTTACTTTTGTCATCCCTGAGGACTAAGATGGATTGCCTGGAAACAAGGCAATCCATCTTAGTCCTCAGGGATGACAACACATATGCATTTTGATTCTTGATCAGGGATAAATGTGAATGTCTATGGGCAACAGCATCCACTTACCATCAGGTGGACTGTGTGCTCGTTTGTCACCTATATTCTATAAAAAAAAATAATGCTGAATATTATGAATATTTCTTAGATATGTGAAGTCTGCCATCACGCATTAGGACGGCCGACATTTCATTGTTCTAAAAACCGTTCAGATATGGGAGGCCTGTGTCCAAATGCTGTAACTTGCATTATTATGAAAAAAACCACAAACATCACAATTAAGAGAATCAATAATTCTACGTTTAAGCGGTCTCAAAGTTAATAACATAAAAATATCTTAAAACAAATATTGATGCTTCATGTAAGCAACAAAATCTTCTCAATAATGGAATTGGCCAATGCAGAAGAAGACTTATTAAAATTTTTTATCTAATAAGGGTGACAAACGAGCACACAGTCCACCTGATGGTAAGTGGATGTTGTGGCCCATAGACATCTACATCTATCCTCGATTACGAATCAAAATGCAGATGCGTTGTCACCCGTGAGGACTAAGATAGAATGCCTCGTTTCCAGTAAAAAGGGTCTCCGATTCTTTACACTCACCACGCATCATTGCTCTACTACGATATGATGTTGAAGTAACCAAATTTTTTTAACTCATTTCCAGGTGAAGTTCTTCATAATCGCGTTGATCGGTCTCGCGATCAACCTGGCAAGGTTCTGGGTTGAACTGAAGAATAAGCACCACCACCAACCGCAGAAGGTAAGTCAATATTTTGTTACACTTTATTGGTTCTTTTTATAGAGTTTGTATTGGATTTTACGATTCCGGATTTTTTTTTTGTTAGTCTTATTTCATTGTTTCCATTATCCATTCATTACAGCCTATAAAATAGAATAGAATAGAATAAAATAGAACAATTTTTATTCAATATAGGATTACATGTAATTCTTATTTAAAGTATGTCTTTACTGACATTTTTACATTTATAATGTTTACTTATAGCGTCAGTAGCCCAATGGCAGGGCGCGGACCGCGAGCTCGAAAGGTCGTGGGTTCGAATCCGCCATTCGCCTACTGTCGTGAACCACTTCTAACACAAGCATTTTAAGTTTACCAGAAGTGGTTAAAGGGAATATTAGTAATGTTTAATACTAGTCTTTATATATAAAAATTACATGTCACATTGTTTTTCCACAATGAACTCCTAAACTACTGAACTGATTTCAAAGAAGTTTTGCACACTGTGTGCAGTTTGGTCCAACTTGAGAGATAGGATAGTTTTATAAGTGACCCTCAATATTTTTCATTACGATTTAAGGATTTCTATAGGACAGAGGGTCGTCGGAGAGGGCAGAACAACGTCTGCCTGGTCAGCTAGTATATTATAAAAAATAAATATAAAAAGAATAAAAAATAAAAGATCAATGCTGAACATAAGCTTCCCCCATAGATTGCCTCATAGGAGGGATTTTGCCATACTTGCTACGATTGGCAGGCGGGTTGCTAGCCGCAGGTTTTTATTACTTTGAGGTGTTATCCGGAAGACGCTGCTGCTCGTCTCCTGTTCCAGTTTTCCTCTGTCGCCTCTTACGACACCCAAAAGAAAAACAAAAATAATTTAACATCATTTTCAAATCAATAAGGTGATAAGAGCGCTGGTTCTTTTCTCGCTCAAAGGCTAAGTATAGCCATTCAGCGGGGAAACGCAGCCAGCGTTCTTGGCAGGATACCGCGGGGAGTAGGACTGTATGATAATTAAGTTACTAGTTTTATTTTTATCAAATTACAACATTAATAAATATTGAAATCTAAACCGAGCTAAGGTGTGGATGGAGAATACCAGTGTTTTTCATTTTCTATCAAGTAAACAATGTAATTTATTTATTTATTGTTTTGTTTTTAATTCTATTGTTTATTTGATGGAAATGGAAAACATTATTTTTTTTTAATTTTATTTAGTATTTTAATGATTGTAATTTTGGAAATTCCCTTAAATCGGTCTGATTATGAATTAATTAAATATTAAGAAAATGTGTGGCAAAGAAAAAGTATTTTACATATCCAATTAAATAAAAAATATATGTTTTTACATAACATAACATAATCATAAACACTCACGCCTGTCACCCAGAGGGGTAGGCAGAGACTACGGACTTCCATTTGCCACGATCCCGACACACCCCTCGCGCATCCTTTACATCCAATACTTACGCATACATACTCGTCGGTTAGGGGTACTCTTAATCCCAATCTAAGGCCCATCTTCAATATATCGCCGTTTTTTTCGAAAATCTTCTGTCTAGCACATTTGCTTTCTCACTTCCTCATCAATTTTTTCTACATGATCAAACCACCGAACATCCCTTTCTTAATACTGGTACACCATCATCTTGCAGACTACACTTTTCTCCTATCACACAATTTCTCACCCTGTCGTATGTTTAACATATTTTAGTGAAAATATATGTTTTTATTTCTTGATAAACAGGTGATAGTATTTTTTAATACAGATAGTATTTGTAAATTAGAATACAAAATTACTCAATTTGTTTTATATAAGTTAAGAGTGATCGGGTCCTAAATTGACTGTCTCGTTGTTCTAATGGTAGTAAACGCGGGTGCTGATCCTCAGGTCCCGAGTTCGAATCCCGAGTCGGGCCAAAATCAGTTATTGGATTTTTCTGTGGAGAAGTTTTCAGTAGGAGCCCGAAGTTAGGCAGTGTTCCATCCCCGAAACTCAGAAAGCACGTAAAGCCGGTCCTGCGCCTGATCTCTATCCAGTCGATTGCCGTCCCATCGGACTATGAGAGTGAAGCAACATAGAGTGCACTTGTGCTTGCACACACACTCGTGCACTATAATCTTGCCCTGCGCAGATGGCAAGTCTCCGTTAAGACTGGCCCCCAAACTCGGTCGTGATGACATTATTATTTATTACCAGTGTTAAGTGACAACTACAGCCAATAAACACCTGCACCCAACTGGTAACAAAGAATGCTACAGTTGTGTTGTCACCCCTGAGGACAAAGATGAAAAACCTTACAGCGTTTAATTATATTGACTCTTTATACTAAAAAGGCAGAAATATGTAAGAGAATACCGGCAAATACAATCTCTTGGGAAAATTAGTGCTTCCATATGGTAAAAGTCTAAGAAAAATGTCTTTAGAATTGATCTTTAGGAAATATAAATCCAGTACCCAGCTACAATAACATGTTTATATTATGTATCTTAGTAATTATGATTATCATTGTACATATTACATTATGTAAACATAAATATGTCTAACGTAGTCTTTTGCAATTTGCACCCACAATATTTTCTCTGCTTAGACTGTATTTGAATTTGGTGTGCAAATAAAGTATAAATAAATAAACAGGTGTTAAAAAATCGCCACGTGCTAGGTGGTGAAGGAATACATCGTGAGGAAACCTGCATGTCTCAGAACTAAGAAAAAAATATTTCGAAGGCATGTGAAATTCACCAACGCGCATTGAGGCAGCGCGACGGAAATTTCTTTGCTCTATAACCCTGTTAGGACTGTAACTTTAACTTTTTAACTTTTAAAAAAATTCTACATTTTTATAAAGGTTACACTAAAATTTTATCCTGTATTATAAAGGTTACTTGTAAAATACATTTGTAAATTGCACATGGATAAAACGGACTCGGAACAATTATTTGTAGGATATACAAACACATTTTCCCAGCGATATTCAGACCCGCGGTCAGCAGTGTCGCAACAAATGCTTAGTCACTGCAACAACGACCTACCAAACATAATTTCTTTCGCCTTTTCTACTCTAACAATGGTAAAAAACATTGGTTAGAAAGTAAATTTCAATGCTTTTGTCAGAAAATACATAACTTACGTGGTATTTTTACGTGGTAGAGCCTTACTGCAGCTATATTATGGTTATAGCACGAATGGGTCGCCTCAACCGGGGAAGGACCGGGCTCACACAGAATACCAGCGTAGCAAATAGCAGCTTAATACTGCTGTGTTTCGTATTGTGAGTGTAGAGAACCGGAAAAGGATCCTTTTATTGGAAACAAGGCATTTCATCTTAGTGCTCAGGGATGACAACGCATCTGCATTTTGATTCTTAATCGAGATTAGATGTAGATGTTTTTGGATCACAGCATCCACTTACGATCATATGGACAGTGTGATCGTTTACCATCATTATTATATAAAATTCATCATTCAAGTTATCATCATTTGGCCATAATTTTAAAATGAGTAATTTCAAAACACGATTTCATTACCGCGTCACAACATCAGGGACTTTCACTGAACGTGGTGCATATGCACTTTTATTATATATTTATTCGAAAAATATATTTGAAGAAAGACAATGCCCTTTCATTTTTTACTCAACTAAAAACTCCTTCTCGGCTTCATCACTGACGTAACTTCAAATCCAAGACTAAAAACTTCTAGTAGTTAGTTGCATAGCCATGCAACATAAAATAGAATAGAATGGTTTTGTTTATTCAATATACATTACAAGAATACTGTTGAATGTCATTTATGTTACTACCACTGGTTTGGAAAAAACGAAAACCGTTCGGGAAGAACCAGCAAGGAACCCAGTGGGAGTTTTTTTTAAACATTAATTAGCAATATTATATTTTACAATTAAAAATATTTCAAAACAACGTAGTAGCTATCATCGCATTAACATGTAAATGCAATAAAAATGTTAAACTTTATAAAGATACGTCCTGTATATTTTCTGGGTCTTTATTGTGAAAGCGTATACATTGCCCCATGAAGAAAAAGCTGATTCTTTTGAGTCGAATAACTGGTATAACTAGCTTGTGCTTGTAGACCTAAAGAATATTTTTGTTAGTTATACAATATGATAAACGGGCACGTGGTAAGTGGATGCTGAGGCCCACAGATCATCTATCCTCGATTAAGAATCTAAATTTAGATGCGTTATCACCCGTGAGGACTAAGACGGAACGCCTTGTTTGCAGTAAAAAGGATATCCGGTTCTCTACACTCACCACACGAAACACAGAAACATTATGCTGCTATTTTACGTTGGTATTCTGTAAGAGCGTGGTCTTTCCCCGGTTGAGCAGACCCATTCGTGTTACAACCGTAATATAGTTGCAGCGTGGCTCTACCACGTACAAAATCTCTGCTAGACAATTCTCTTTATAAAGAGAAACTTAATTTCTAACTGGATTATACATTTAATATTGAAGCTTTAATTTCGTCATAATGTCTTAATTAAAACAATAAGTCTCGGTACACAAAAGTATTATAAAGAACTCTACCGTGAAAACACTTAATTACGATTAATCTACTTAAACCAGGCCAGGTTGAACGATATCGTATTTATGACGCGATTTTGACGCGCCAGAATATCTCTTGAAATAGTATGCGCTCGGAAAAAATATGCGCATATATGAAATACTCAATTATTAGACAAAAACTTCAACGTTCAAGTTCTCGTTTTTTTTAAAGCGATTATCTGTATAATATTTTTCGATAATATGAAAGACGTGTTATTGAATTAGATTCTTCATCGGCTACATTTTAACTTAGATCGTTTATTTCCTGATAATAAGCAAAAAATTGAATAAAACTATTTTTACGGATTTTATCGCGTTTAATTAACTTATTTTATATTTCCGACGTTTCGGTTGCTTTCCAGCAACCGTGGTCACGGGGGACTAAGGTGATTGACGTCCCGATGTCAAAGTTAACCCGGAGTACCTTCAGCTTTTTAATTATTAATTTT